TAGGCAAATGTAAGAGTTCTGTGCGTGCTTAAGGTAAGCCAGGCTAACCTAAGCTGTTTGCTAGGGTAAGAGTATTAAGTGCATTTTCTAAATACATAGTATTTATCTGTATATCATTAATAATCCAGGTAGAATCCCTTCCCTTCTAGATTGCTTTGATCCTTTTTCTGTATGTCCTTCCTCATAGTTGAAACAAGAGCACTGGGAAGATTTTTTTTAGCTACAATTAAGATCCTCATGTTCTTCTGCCAAATGCTACTAGTCTAAGGGGAAGTTGATTAATCTCTCTTGATTAATTTTTCCCTTCTGTACATAAACACTTGAACAAAAAGCCAGTCACTAAGAAGAATATTTTCAGTTGTTCCTGATGAGTGTCTCCTGCTTTGATTCACATAGACACACACACACAAATCCATCACATAGAATTCACGCAGAAAAACATGCACATGCAAGGATGCTCATGCATGCGTACATGTGTGCGCGCACACACACACACACACACACTCCAGTGACTCCCTACCTCACTTAAGTAAAACTCAAAGTCCTTATCCAAGAGGTAATACTAAACCCCAGGACTAGAAGTAGTTTAGCCCCAAAGTTCTCTCTGCCCCTCTCCCCTTAGGCCCACTGGATCAGGGACTTGCACACTCTAATATATTCCTCCTTCCTTTGTCTCCCTGCAGCTTTTGCCCTCACCTGGAAAACTCTCCTCTGTCTCAGTCCTCATTTCTTCAACAGATGTTCATATGTCTTCTTTCAGAACATTCCCTGATCTGGTTGCCTCATATAAAAACATATCTCCATGTTACTATAAACCCCTTAACTTTCTTCTTTAAAATTGTATTACATGTTTTATTCTTTTATTTGTGTGGGAGGAGGGCATGCACATGGTATAGCTCGTGCATAGTGGTCAGTGAACAAATATATATATATATATATATATATATATATATATATATATATATGTTTAAAGTTTCATTAACCATTCATCTGTTGATGGGCATCTTGGGTGATTCCAATTCTTGGCTATAGTGAACAACAAACACAGGGTACCCTCTTTGGTAAGGTACCAAATTCTCTGGGTATGTGTCCAAGAGTGAAATAGTTGAGTCACATGATAGTTCTATTTTTAATTTTTGAAAAATCTCAAGAGTGATTTCCACAATAGCTTTATGAACTCACACACCCCAGCAAAAAGGAATAAGAGTTCTTTTCTCTCCACATCCTCTCCAATATTTGTTGGCAGGGTTGTTGATGACAGTTATTTTGACTGGGGTGAGGTAGTATCTAAAAGTAGTTTCTTGTTTGTTTTGCTTTGTTTTCTAGTTTTTGAGACAGGATTTATCTGTATAGTTTTGGAGCCTGTCCTGGAATTTACTCTGTAGACCAGGCTCGCCTCGAACTCACAGGGATTTGCCTGCCTCTGCCTCTTTTCTAAAAGTAGTTTTAATTTGTATACCACTAACAGCTTTTAAAACAGTTATTGGCCATTTTTGTTCCTCCTTTTAGAAAACAGCCTGGTCAGTTATTCATCCATCTGTTGATTTGTAGTTTTATTTCCTTAGGATTTATTTTCTGTGATTCTTTGTGAACAAGTCTGGATAGCAACCTCTTGTCTGAAGGGTGCATGGTAAAGATTGTCCACCCTTCTGTGGATTGTCTGTGAACTCTGCCGATCATTTTCTTGGCTGTTCAGAAATTTTTATGTTCACATTGTCCCATCCATTTATGCTTTGGATGAAATTAAGAATAAAAAAGTATACAAAATCAACCAAAGAGATGTTTCTTTGGAAAAGTTAATAAACTGGACAGACCCTTGGCTCTCTGGCTTTCTTACTAGTCTCTGAAGCAGCTGCCTATCCCAGGAGTTCAGACCACTGTGTATCCTATGCTTGAGACATACTCAGTTCATCTGTGTGACTGAATGAATGTTGTCAGTCTCACACAAACAGAAACCCATCAAAAAACACAAGTACTCCTCTTGTGTGCCATAATCACTCTCTTCTCTTACCACAAGCTGGGAAATATTCACACTCACCAACAGCAACAACATACACACATGCGCATACACACACACACTTCCATCATGGGAGGAGTGAAATAAAGTGTTAGATATTGCATGCATATCTGACTGTGCAGGTGTTTCCTAGCCTGCTGTGGCTGGAATACAGTTGCTGACTTGTTACTTGTTTTAATGTCTCTGGGGCACCACAATGACTCTTGTTAAGACATATATGTGGCATATACATACATATAGAAATATATCAACATTTATGCCTATCTGGACAGAAACCGATTGCAAACAGAAATATACAAACACAAATAGACACTTCAGGTTCACTTCAGGATTAATGCAGAACACAAATCAAAAATGATACACATGAGAGTACACACGCTTATTAGGCCAGGCATGGTGGTGCAAGATTTTGGTCCCGGTACTCAGGAGGCAGAAACAGGTAAATCTCTGTGACTTTGAGGCCAGCCCGGTCTACAAATCTAGTTCCAGTTCTATGCCAGTCAAGGCAATACAATTAGACTGTCTGAAAAGAGAGAGGAAGAGAGGGAGAGAGAGAGAGAGAGAGAGAGAGAGAGAGAGAGAGAGAGAGAGAGAGAGAGAATAACTTCACTTTCAAGAGCACACACATATATGCACACAAACACATGAGCAAAAACAATGATATTTACCTTAAGGTGTGACTAGAGAGCAATGAGGCCATGTGGGGTGTCTGCTGGTGTGCTGATAATGGTCAGCTTTTGATTACATATGCTACATAATTACATGTATATATTCAATATGGTGCATCTACATAGACATTTGCATCAGATTCGTGAGCACCCACTATCGATAGCAAATCTCCTTTTCAGTCACTACTGAAAACATTTTGGGAACCCTGGTATGGGGAAATCATGAGAGTCCCTCTGGCACATACTTCTGCAGTACTGGAGAGAGGGGTTCTGCTGGTCTGGCCCTGAGCTGGGAAAGGAAGCTTCACTTGGGTAAAGAGCTAAGCTTGCAGAGAACAGAGATGTGGGAACTATTGCCCTAAGAAAGGACTTCCTGAATATGCTGGGTAAAGGAAGGCTCATCCTCTCTTAGCAGCATTGGAAGGGAGAGCCCCCAGAGTCCCAGCCAGTTCCAGCGGGCCAGAAAATCCTGCAGAGGCTATTAATCCACTAAAGTCCCCTGGCTGGGAGAAAATCTGATTAACTCTACCTCCCCAGATGGGCTTAACAGTGAAATGTATATCTCATTTCAGAGAGTCAGATAAGGTAGAGAAACAGAGGAAGGCGGGTGAAAGGAAATGAGAGGAAGGTGAGCACCACAGGAACAAGATCTGTGCATACACTCCCTGCCTCTGCTGCTCACCGGGAGTCCAGTTTCCCAGCCTGAATGATGGATCTTTGGTTCCGCTGGAGGAGTGTGACTTCTGTCTTTCTCAAAAGAGGCCAGGCAGCTCAGCTCCCTTTTGACCCTAGAAACTAAGTTGTTGCTGGTTTGGTTTTTTGTTTGTTTGTTTTGTTTTGTTTGTTCCTGAATTTTCCTACCACAGTGACCCTGGAAGGAGACTTACTCTGTCCACCAGACTTTTTTCTACATCTTCTGGGCCCGAATGTTATAGCTTCCATGCTTTAAAGAACTTGAGGGTTCTGGTTCCACGTGAGCCTTTTTAAATGATACACTGAGTCCCCTGAGCACATCTGGACTGGAATTCGTGGTGTTTCACTTACAAGAGACTATTTTCTTTTTTAAGAAAAAATATCAAAGTTAAAATTTCAAAAAGACTGCAGTCTTTTAAAAGATGAATTTTGTGACCTCCCTGGAGTAACAGAAGACCTGCAAAGACACTGGGGCCTGGGAAGTGCAGGAAGCTGGTCTCTACCAGCACTTCAAGGGTTAAATTCAACCCAGAGCCTAACACACAATTGGCCGAACCTGAAGAGAAGATATGGTTTTCGCAGCCGCGGGCCAATGAACACCTCGAGTGGGAGGGTTTGAAGCTTCTAAGGAGTTTTTCCCCCCATTTTCCCCTCTCCACCCCCTCCCGTCGGCCCTTGCCCCCCCCCCAACCTCTACGCCGCCAGTTTGTTAAATTAATGCAGTAAGAAAGTCTGAAGATCTGAAAGCCAGAAGATGCGCGAGCTCAGAAACCCGACATGCCCCTGAAAGCTTGGGATTCTGAGCCCTGCTGGGAAGCCATGGACCCCAGCAGCCCCTGAAAGTTGTGGTGGGCTCTATTGCACCTGCAGCCCCAAAGCAATGGGACACCTTTCCTGCAGCAATCCCAACTTCTTCGGCGGGGACCAGAGAACGCGAACTGCAAGGCAACAGCAGACTGGAACGGAGGCAGGGGAACGAGATTCCGGGACTCGGTTGCGATGCGCCAGCCTGGCACACTCTCCGACATCTAACTGAAGCCAGCACCGTCACCTGCTCCACCTCCCCCCACACACACGCACACACATACACACACACACACACACACACACACACACACAACCCCTACAACCCCTCGGGCCAGCCCAGGGCCAGAAAGAAGATGCCAGCCAGGTCTAAGGGTCCGAGGCCAGGACTCTGATCCCCACGGATTTCTTGCTTGCATTAAACTGGACATCTCGACATAAAAGCAAGGGTTAAAAAAAAGAAAAGGAAAAAAAGAAAAGAAAAGAAAAGAAAAGAAGAAAATATACCCACCCCCAAGAGTGCCTCCCAGCGCCGCAGGGAGCCTCCAGCGAGTTGAGCATCAGCAGCGCTCTTCCCGCCCGCAGCCGGGCTGGACGCTCTCCGTGGTGCTGAACCTCCACGGCCGCCGCTGTCCGCGGTGCCCAAGCCGCCTGGCTGCAATTCTCCCCGGGCTCTGCCACCTTGTCCCTCTACTCCCTAGCTCCTTTAAACATCTGGATTGTTTTCCCCAGAGGCGCTCTCTGGCTTCGTCGGTGCCCATCGGAAACATTTTTGCATCCCCATAACTCGTGGACTTTACAGCACAAGAATCTAGAAAATGTACAGCTTCAACACTCTGCGATTCTACCTTTGGGAGACCATTGTATTCTTCAGGTACGCGATTTCCTATACCGACCACGACTATCCTTATGGTGCAAATGGGGTTCAGGTGGTGTAAAGAGGCTGACTCTACCGTGGCCTCATCAGTTGGGGAGGGGGTACTGTGTGCTGAAGGCCTTTCCATTCCCCTCCCCCCTCCACCCGCAGGGTGTCTGGCTGGTGCGTGTAGGTCCCAGACAGTGGCTGCTCCAGTAGCGGTTTGCCTGTTTCTTGCGGTTTGTCTATCTGACTGTTACACTTCCCCCGATACTCGCCCTCTGGCCCCTCTTCTCGTTACCCTTTACTCGGCTGAGGACTTAAAGGAAAGCTTTACGAGTTTTTTAGTTTAATTGGGACCGCATTCTCTCAAACCGCAGTGCTGGAAATCCCGGGTCTCCCGTCTGGGAGCGAAGTGACAACTAGTGGTGACGCGGAAGGTTGCAGTTGGACTGGCTGGGCACAAAACAGAGCATTCTGTCTCCCTTTTTGTTGTTTTTCTTGGAGGGGGGGGTGTCAGGGTTCCTGTGGTTTGGAGTTAGGGGGGATAACGCAGTTATGACTTCAGCTTGCAAAGCCCAAACTTAAGTGCAGATCGGGCCTATTTGCGAATAGACACTGAGAAATATTTTCCTTTTAAAACTTTGACTCCATCCTCCCTGGTCCACACTTCTTTCCAAACTCTGTTATGGCCGACCCTCCCCTACTCCAAAGGACAGTTCTTATTTATGAATGAAGGCCTATCCCTGCTGCCATGACTGGGCTCTCCATACCCTTCCATTGACTCCTAATTCTCTGTTTACAGGCTTAGCGTTCTTGTGTTAGCCCTAGTGAAAAGTGAAAAATCACGTCTTTAGGAAGTATTGAAACAGATTGGCCTTTTGTAAGTGGGCAAATCATGCCATCTTCAGAGGTGGTGATGATAAATTCCATCTGTATAAATTGAAAAATATTCTTCCCGGCTCTGCAGAGATCGTTAATCTTCCTCGTTCTTGCGTGTCTGCTTCTTGTGTTTTACCACTGAAGTCAGTTAATAGGCATTTTTAAAAAAAAGAAAAGAAAGCCCACTCTGGTTGTTCTAAAAAACATATACGACCACCAATAAGATCCTCTCTGATCCTAAAACAGCACATAAGTATGATGTGATTACACGGCAAGGAGCTGATGGTTTGACTAATCCATTGGTTGGTGATATGGATGAGGCCTCCACTCCGAAGAGACAGTTTCTGAATTTGAGCCTCTCTTTGTGTTTTCTTTTTTTTCTGTCGAGATGAAGACAAGACGTCTGCTCCTTTCCCAGGGTTACTCCACTGCTAAAGCTTTTAATGCCATCTTAAAATAATTCTTTAGCATGCTACTGTCCCAGCCATAGCTTAGGATGTAAATAGCCAAGTATTTTCTCAAGTCCAACATTCTAGGACCTTGTGAGACTTATCAATTCATGAGAAGTGGCAAGAAGTGTCTTATCACTCCACCCACCTCGCTCCTCTTTTCCTGATGCAGTCCTTGATTTCCCTCTCCCAGACATGAGCTTTCGTAAAAATGGAAAAGGAGAACCGGTCTAAACAATCTGCATTGTAATCACTTAGATGAGGGTGAGACTCCGCTGTGTTAATTCCTCAAGTGAACTGGTGGTGGCCCATCGGAGAGTCTCACTGTGTCTCCCTTCCCCTCTACGGATGAAAGCACACATGAGCAGCAATGGACTTGATCGAGAACTCACTGTGCTTCTGAGGAAGCAAGGGGCATGACTAGAGAGATCCGGATCACGCTGGTGCTGCGGCACTGTCAAAGCAGGAGGACGGCTGCTTCGTTTCAGGAGTCAATGTTCACCCCCTTCGCAATTCCCCAGATAGGTGATGCAAAATAGGGATCACAAGTGGGTTAACCAAGATATGTCCTTGCTCAAATGATATTTGCATCTGTAATACTTTCATCTTTGCGTAAATTTTAGGTAAGACTTATAACAGACTTAGAATCCTGGGTAAACAGAGGCCAGCAGCTCCCTTGCAGGTTACAGGAGAATAACTAGCCCTTCTTTCCAAGGGATAGGCTGAGGGCTGGAATGAGCTGGTGTATATTCCCAGGGTCCAAGCCCTTCTTAGATTAAGTAAAGCCAGCTGCTCACCTGTTTGAAATTATTGAAAATCTTGGGGAGCCACCAGGGCACTATCCAAGGTGCTACTGCACCGTATCTGTGTGTAACCAGCGAAACAGCAACACTGACAGCAAAACAAACAAACACAACTGACGTGAGCGATGCTGGAGCCTCACACGCTACCAATGCGGGGAGTGAATGGAGGCATCGGAAAGGCAGACTGGGGTCCTAGGAGACCAGCCGCGCTGCAGTGCTCATCAGCCATGTCCCCACAAAAACATGGAAGCAATTTGGCTGAAGTTCCTGCTCTCATGTTAAACAGTCTGACAGTCTTAAATTTAATACATGACACCCCGTAATCCAATAATATAAATTTTGCGTCACTTGGAGGTTGGGACCCATCTCCACTTGTGCTAAAACTGATATGCAGGGTTTTATTTATTTATTTATTTAATACCAGAAACTCATTCCTTTCAACCCACCTTTAAATCAAAGGGAACATGGCTTTGATCCCCCAGAGTCCTTTCAGAGGCTTGTAGCAAGGATGGGACTAGTATGACCCCAACAGTTTCTTGCCTTCTCAATAACTCAGACAGACATGATCTATGAGGCTGCTCTTCGGCCTCTGCACTATTGGCATTTTGATCTTTGTAATTCTTTGTCATGACGTCTGCCCTGTGCATTGTAGCAGCCTGTCTGGTGCCAGTAGCATCTTTTCTCCCTGATCACGACAAACAAAAAGGTCCCCGGACACTGCAAACTAACCCAGGGTATGGTGAGAAGATGCAGGATTGCTCCAGTTTAAAAATGACAATAAAAATAACCAGATTTGTAATCAGCTGCTCTGATGCACTAATCATAATAATAAAAAGGTCGAGTGTGCCTGGGGGAACAACCCCTGGTAGAATTCACAGCGTGTCCCACTGAAACAGAAAGAAACCTAGCTTGTGCTTCAGCAGGGGATAAATACAGAGGGACATAAACTAGGTGATTTTCCCACAAAGCACCACCTTTTCCTTAAATACATCTTCCATTTCCCATCCCAGTCGATGGCGCCTTATGCTGAGGTTTTAGCCTCTGTGTGTCAATCACTTGCTAAGAAAGCTGATCAAAACTTTGAAATTCAGATGTTACTATCAATTATAAGGCAAGAACGGCCATGGTAAATCATATTTTTCATCTCTCCATCACTATGGACAGATAAATGAGTTTTCCTAAGATAGGTCCTCTTGGAAAGGTTCCCAAGCTTACCAAAAAGGACAGACAACCACCTTGGTCTTTCTCCCTGGTAACAGCTATGTTCTGCCTGAGTCCTGCCCACTATATCTGAGGGCACTGCAAAACACATCTAGAAGTTTCTGAAATGACTCAAGAGCTTTCTTCTAAAGAACTAAGCCCATGAGGCAACTCTGCCTCAGGGCTAACCAAAATGTCCTCTGGCGACTTTGGAAAGATAGGGAAAGAAATGTCATTTTGGCAGTTTGGACAGGGACCTAAAGCCAATAAAACAGAATTATAAATCCCCACAGAACATCTGCATTATTTGAGAAGCTGGGAATGACCTACCAGGAACTCATGAGAAAGTTATCTTTGGGATGGTCTGATGAAGGCCGCAGCTATGTGGGGCAATAGAGAGAGCAGAACTGCTCTGGTCCATGGGCTCTGACTTCCAGAGCCAACTCTGCCTTCCTTCTGCGGCACAGCCATAGGAAGGCTCCTTGTGGCTACTCTAGTATCAACTCGGATGGCTAAACCCAACCATTAGAAGTTCCCTTCAGGCTCTGAGCAACCCACTTGCAAAGACAGGACCCCATCTGCACAAAGGCTCTGGATGAACCAGTCCCAGCGGCTCCCCTGCCGTCATCCCTTCACCAGGTATTGTCTAATTGTGTGACTGTGTGTCCCATTCCGAACCGGGCACTCCGCAGGGACACGCGCCATTCCTGCAGAAAGAAGCCTTTTCCCTTGCAGCAGAGGGTCTACAGGGCTCACCTCCAGGCAGCCCGTACAGGGCCTATGACAGCATCACACTAATGTGGATGTCATTAACTTTATTTCCTTCATCAGCTGGCAGAAGCCAAAATGATTTTTAAGATGGATGGTACCGTCTCCTCTCTGCCCAGCTCGAGGCGCTTCTGCGGGTTTGTTAGTGTGGCCTCAGCCGCAGCAGACATGAGATCTGGAATTGAGCTATAGTAACATGACCTTGAGAAGACTCTGTGACCCTTCTGGGTCTCACTTTGCCCACCTGTAAAATGAAAGTGCTCCGCCAATCACACTCGCAAAAATTATGTTTAGCTGTTCCTGTTGGCAATGACCTTTTCCCCAGGCTTTCCCCCGTAACAGTACAGATTGGGTTAAAGTGATTGCAGTGTATCTCAGCTATTACCAAAATAATAATAATAACAGCTGTTCCCAGCTGCTCCCAGACCCAGAAGTCAGAAAAAATTGAGGCCCTCAGCCAGCTCCTTCCCTCTTTGAACAGGTCCCCTAAGAAGGACGTGATGACTGACAAAGACTATAAGCGTCTACCTTCCCATCCCAGGAAATGTTCGGCGTGCTGAGATGCATGACGCCCCACCACTGCCTTCATCTGAAAGACTGGGGAGAAAGGCAATTCTCTACTTTCTGTAACAACTGTTAAACACTTACCCCACCCCCATGCATACACATATAAAGCCTATTTTTTTTAGCTGTTTACTGAACCCATCCTTGCCTTATCCACCCATTGCCATTAGTCAAAAGAATATACAACTGTCAGGCACTCCCCCAACTACCGCAGCACAAGCAATACCCCTCGCTGAGTCTACTTAAGATGAAACACAGCTAAGGACCTGTGGTGCTTCCTTGTCAGCCCGTATGGTTTGGGCAGAGGTAAAAACCCAATTGGCTATAGTCTTTGAAACATTTTAAGGAGATT